GAAAGGTCATCGAGAAAGAAATGAGGTTCGACTTCGAGAGAGTTTTACAAATCGTGGACTCAGAAACAGTCGTGAGTATGATCCACAAGACAAGCACACGTTTCAAAGTTTACGAGGGAGTACGAATCGGAGAAATCCAAGCAGCAACTGAAGGAGATCTGACTTGCTGGGCTTGGATGTCTGGCCAACATAATACAGCTGACTGGTTGACACGCGGCAGAGCACCACAGGAGCTGAACAACGATTCTCATTGGTGGAATGGACCGCCGATTCTATACCGACCGATAGAAGAATGGGGATTAAAGTTTAACCCAAAGAAAGAACCACTCCCCGGTGAAAAGAAAGTCCATGTTGTAGCAGCAGCAGCGAGCGTAGAGGCATTGTTGATCGACTATGAAAGATTCAGCAATATCAACAAAGCTATTTGGGTCGTCGCGAGATTGCTAAACATTGCGAAGAAGAAAAGTTTTAAAGGCGGAAGGACTCTGTCCATCTCGGTTAAGCAATTACAAGAAGCCGAGAACTTTATTGTTAAAGAAGTTCAGAAATCATTTGAAAGTGAACTGACAAAAACTGACCGCAAAGGCAGAAAAGGTGGTCGTTTCGCTTGTTTCAATCCAGTCCAAGATGAAAGTGGACTCTGGGTAGTGGGACAGCGCCTGAAGAACAAAAATCCCATGACAGTGGATTCTTCGCTGCAAAAGCTATTGCCCTACCGACATCATGTTACCAGACTCTTCATGCAACGAGCTCACACTTCTGGTCATAGAGGGCGTGATGCAACCTTAGCACGATTCCGCCAACTCTACTGGGTAACCCAAGGAAGCAAACTCGCTCAATCAATCAAGAGTAAATGTCAGATGTGCAAGCTACGAGAAGCAAAGTTCCTCGAGCAGCAAATGGGACAATTACCGGAAGCAAGATTGAAACCATCTCCAGCTTTCAACCACGTTATGATAGACCTTTTCGGACCCTACTCGGTTCGTGGAGAAGTGCAGAAAAGAACAAGTGGTAAAGCGTACGGAGTAATCTTCACAGATCTAGTTATGAGAGCAGTCCACATTGAAGCTGTGTTCGGGTACGATACCGAATCATTCCTAATGGCCCTCAGCAGATTCGTCAGTGTTCGTGGTTGGCCCGAAATCATATATAGTGATCCCGGATCACAACTAATTGGTGCGGAAAGAGAACTCACGGAAACCTGGAAGAGCATTGACCGACAATCCCTACATAAAAGTGGCACAGAGAATGGATTGACCTGGATCTTCGGCCCCGCTGATAGTCCTTGGTACCAAGGAGCTGTAGAATCCCTGGTGAAGAGTGCCAAGAGAGCTATTCATTTCGCAATCAATAACCAACGTCTTTCAGTCCAAGAGTTCATGACGGTGTGTAGCGAAGCCACGAACCTCCTCAATGAAAGACCTATCGGAACCCTCCCGAGCGCTGATTCCGAATTAAACATCCTTACTCCCAACAGTTTGTTACTGGGCAGAGCAACCGCGAAGAATCCTGGTGGATGGCAGCCTAACGGTAATAATCCAGGAAAGCGTTATCATGTTGTCCAGATCGTGACAGACGAGTTCTGGAAGAAATGGACGGAGTTATACGCCCCAACCTTGGTTATTCGTCGCAAGTGGAATACAGCCAACCGTAACCTGCGCCCAAGAGATGTTGTAATAATCGCCGACCGTAATACCTTGCGAGGAGATTACCGTTTAGGTATAGTACAAGAAGTGTTTCCCAGTCAAGACGGAAAAGTTCGTCGAGTAAATGTGATGTACAAGAATTTTCAAATTGGAGAAAAGGTACAAAAATACAAAGGACATAACGAGGCTGTCATTGTGTCACGAAGTGCTCAGCGATTATCGTTATTAGTACCAGTGGATATGGATCAAGACCAGGAAACCAAGTCGGAAGCAAAAGAGAGTGTATGAATCGACAGTGACATTATATAGTATTGAGTGAACAATGCATTAGAGAAATTTACATTCAGATTTTAAGACGCGATCGCATCGACCCCAGTCCTTCCGGTGTATTGGGTTGTAGTAAAGTCGTAGACAATAATCTCCGCGATCGCCTTTTGAACGATGTTTTTTACGTTTTGTTAGAGCATGCGCATAAGAGCTAATATGGCGTGCGAAGCAAAACAGTGTTTTACCACTAATTACTATTTTGTAATTTTCCGTATATTTTATAATTAAAGTGAGTTGAAACCTGTTTTTCGCCTCATTTACTGGCAATCCCAGTACAGTTTGTATAAAATATATTTCCCAGAAAACTTTCTCGCGTACTTTTTGGATTAGATGAAGCAATTGACTTAGTATAATTAGACTGGTTGCTAGGTTCCTCGATACTTCCCCGTTTTACGAGGTAAGTTGCATTAAGAAGTTCGAAAGCGTTCCGTAAACTAACACTCTCGGAAGATTTTCCTTCATTTTTTAATTATTTCTACGCAATTTTTAATGTTATGATGATGTTTGGTTTTCATAACATTAAAAATGTGTAAAAATAATTAAAAAGATGAGGAAACGTCTTCAAGAGTACCGGTTTAACTCCTGAAACGGAGTTAAAATGATGTAACCCCTGTATAGGGGTTAGATTTTAACTCCAATATGAGAGTTAGATTAACCCCCAAAAGTGGAGTTACATTTTAACCCCAGAAATGGAGTTATTTGTAACCCCAAAAAACGGATTATTTTGAACCTTTTTTGCTAACCCCCTTTTCCGGAGTTATTTTAACTCCCTGAAAATAACAGTGTACAGTAACAAACAAAATGTAATAAACTGCTACCTTAATTTAATTAATAAATGGCAGCATTTTTCAGACAAACACATTTTTTTCTGACATAAATAATAAATGAAGTCATATTGAATTAAACAATGTATATTGGGAAAACATAAACTGACTCGAATATTTCACCTATGGGCGCTTTCTATTGAATGGCCTGACCGGTCAGACCTGAATACTTTTCTCAGTAATGCGCTGCAAATGCAGTGCCAAATTTTCAATTTGTCTCTGCAAATACAGCGCCAAATTTTCAGCTTGGCGCTGCAAATGCAGTGCCAAATTTTCAACTTGGCGCTGCAAATGCAGTGCCAAATTTTCAAATTCCCAATTTGTCACTGCAAATGCAGTGCCAACTTGCAGTGAGAAATATAAATGCTTCGTATTTGCGATATCGGGCAAAATATCTCCGTTTTGTCATCGTTTTTATTCGGGTTGCAAAATGTAGTATTACATTAAAGATTTGTCAGCAAGATAATTTCCCATTCCTGCTAAATATGTGTGATTTTACAATAAACGGCATTGCTATACTCATTTGCTTCAAGATCATTCAATTTCATTAAAATTTCCTAATTTCTTGCAATGCTGCAGTTCTTGATTTTGTTGCGTTTTGTTGCAAATATTAATAAAATGTAGGGAATCCTGCATGAATGAATAGATAGATTGCAAGAATCTCATTATATTCCAATTATTAGCATCATATTGGTCAAATTTCGTTAGGTTTTGTCCGGAATTCAGTTAAATCGAATATTTCACTTTGCTCTAGAACGTGTGTGGCCCTTATTTACATGTCGTCTTGGTGTGTATTTTTGTCACTCTGAATAAGTCCATATAATAAACTGCCTCGTACCCAGGCGTCTCTTTGTAAAAAAACAGTGATGCCCATATGACGTGTTTACATGAAGTATTGTAGTGGGGAGAGATGGCGAAGGGGCTGATGGGAAGAGTGCACTTGAACTGCGAGACGCCTGGCAATTCTTGGTCGATTTCTTGCAATTTTGTACGATTTCTTGCAAGTTGTGCTATTTCGTTGTCGTTTACGATTTTTTTGCTACTTGTTTTTGTTGAATTGACTAACGTTAATATTCTTCTGTCATCCGGGCATGAATTCATGCTGTTATTCTTGGTATATATGACATATATATGCCCTTAAAGTCCATGGAAATTGCAATATTAACATGTCAACAACCGAGGCGTTAAAGAACTAGACTTGCAGGAACTAGATTTGTAAGCTATAACTATATAAAGGTACAGACTATAAAATTGCACTATTGTAATAAATATTTCAAACTTTACGGCTGTGAACTTTTATTTACTTTGGCTTTTGTTTACAGTATACATTTAATAGAAATTGCCATTGGCATTGTGATCGACTGATTGAGCTTTCAGCTAAAGAAGTTATTAATACAAAGCAATTATATGACTTTCTAATCATTTCTCTGTTACTGTTTTATGCTAACTGAGCAACTGATAGCATTTTATTATTCTCCATGTAATATCGAATGACATATTCGAAATATTCGCACGGTTAACTTGTCATGTTATTTACTCATAATTTTTCGCGCATTTTGCATGTCATCGAACATCTACAAATGTATTATTATTTGCCAATGGCTTTCAATTCAACTCTTCATCACAAAGTAAGGTTTTACACACAGAGTACATGACGATATGGTAACTTTTTCTATAAAATTCCCTGTTTTCCCGCCATGACAGTATACAAGAACTGCCAGGCGCTCCCCAGCACGCACCCTTCCCAACAGCCCCTTCGCGCGTCGGATGCCTACCTGAATACTTCATGTAAGCGCCTGGGTACGAGGCAGATATAATAAACAGAACATTAAACGGTTGCGAGAAGTTATGTAGTTATGTTCTCGTGACAAAAACAATATGTCACTGCACTCGTTCGCTGCGCTCACTCCTGAGATATTGTTTTTGCCACTCGAAGATAAAATCCATATCTCTTCGCAACCGTCTAATACCTCTGTAAATATGGGGTCAAATGACATATATTTATTTCTTATTAAATATTCACTATGAACTAATGGCAAATTTATTTTTCTGGAAATCCTCATTAGATAGGTCCCAGTTTTTGTCTAAGTCAACGTATCAGTAGCATAGTTGGCATAAAACAGTACGGTAAGTTATACTGCGAGCTGACGGCTGCATGGTTTGGCGCTTCACCTCGTGACAAGGAAAGACATAAGAATGTCATTAATAGACTCTCCTGCTGACCTTCGATGATCCTTCCGCCCATTTACTTCCCAAAATGTCCGGAGATTATAAGGGTTAGTCACGAAGTCACGTTTCAATTGGGTTTCAATGTCAAACCTTTTGCATTTGACATTGAAACCCAAGACAGGCTTTGGCATCTCTTGTATAGCGATCACTTTGGATTGATCAGGGGCAACGCCTTTGTCGGTGAGGATGTGTCCCATGAAAGAGACCGAAGTTGCTTTGAATTGGATTTTCTTGGCTGATAATCACAGGTCACGTTCACTACATCAGTCCAGTAATGCAATTAAGTTCGTATCGTGATCTTTACTTGCTTGTTCGTCTGTATCTCCACATCCAAAAATGCAAATGTCATCAGCGATGTTGATGACATCCTCCAAGCCCTCCAGAAATTCTCGCTGTCTTCGTTGGTATTCTTCCGGACCAGATGAGATTCCAAATGACATGTGTAGATATCTATAGCGTCCATTTGAGCCTTGGAATATTGTAAGTAAAGAGGAGAGTTCATCTAAAACTACGTTGTGGAACGCCTCCGACACGTCACCAATTGTAAACACTTTCGCTTTAGTAAGAAATGGAAGCTTTTCTTCGATTGTTGGAATAGTGTAGATTGGACGCTTTATTGCCTTATTTATTGTCTGACTTGGATCAATGCATATTCGGAGTTTTCCATTAGGCTTTTCTTTTATCAACATGTTCGATAACCAGTTCGTTGGTTGTGTGACTGGAACTATAACACGTTCTTCGCAGAGCTTCTCCAATGCTTCATTAACTCTCTGTACCTTTGCAACGGGAACACGTCGTCGAGGAGCATGTACTGGTCAAATGACGGGATCCATCTCCCATATACATGGGTGCACCCAACGGATTTCCTCTTCCTGGTTGGAATACTTTATCATAATGCTCTAGAACAAATTCTTTTGTTAACTCCCCCAATTGTGGAATTTTGCTGGACTTGTGAAGGGCTTGGGCTCATTGACGCACACATTCTTGACCCTTGATGTTGCTTGCTGGACTTTGGGCATTGCACTCTGAATTCTGATGATTGAGCTGTTCATTCTGGATTTTCTGATTGTGCACATTTGAATTCTTGTCCGTTTTTACTTCATTCACGGAATGAATCTCATCGGCATGAATATCCAAATATCCCAAGATCTCTGCGTCTCGACCACTCAACAATGGCGGCTTTCCACGAAGTACGTCGACTACCAGGAAATCAAGTAGATGCAATTTTCCTTTCCTTTCGCAGCAGAAAGTCACTTTGCCCTTTGGTTTTATCCGTTGAACTCCATACGTCTGGATCGCAGCTTTGGTTTTCTCAATTTTAATGTTCGGGAAACGTTGATGTAGAATGTTCACAGGGATAGTATTACACGTTGACGCTGAATCGATTTGTGCTTTGACAACCTTTGATCGATTGGTTTCGACAACGGTTAGATGTGCGAAGAATTTTCGTCCATTTGCATTTCCTTGTTGTTCATATCGTGACCTGTCATGAACAATTCTTCATTTACATAATTATCTTCGACTTAAACTTGATTTGCATATTGTTGTTGTTGCCGTTGCATGTATGGTTTTCGACTCTCGACGCTTCCAGGGACGTTTCCAGCGTTTGTACAAGCTCTGGCAAAATGTCCGAGTGTGCCACATTTGTTGCATCTTTTCGAATACGCTGGACAGAATCTCTGACGGGGTTGCTTATGTTGGCCACTACACCAAAAACATGAGTCACGGTTCGATTGCTTTTGTTTCGTATTATTGTTATAATTGACTTGTTCATACTCTTGTGTTTCTCTGGCCGTTTTCATGAGTTGATTTGTCGCTGTCGTTGCTTCAAATATTTTAGCAACTTCGACAACTTCTCGCAAGGTAACCTTTGCTCGTTCACCGTCCTTATGTCTGTGACCTTTGCCGATGAGCTTAACACGGAGTTGTTCTGATGCTAAGCCTGATATGAACTGGTCTCGCATGAGTTTGTCTTCAAAACTCTCGTATTCGCACTGAGCACTCTGATTTCGTATACGGGACTCCCATGAACTTATCGATTCAGCGTCTTGTTGCAGTAAGCGAAGAAACTTTTGCCGTTCCCCCGAGACCCCAATACTTGCGCCGTAATATTCTCGCAATGCTTGAAGTACTGAATGAGTCTTCTTTTGCTCTGCTTCGCTAAGACCTAAGCTGTATTTGTATACAGTTCTTGCTGTTGGTGTAAGACACGCTCGAAGGCAAGCTATTGCTTTGTCAGTTTTGATCCATCTTTCTTCTTCGGTTGACTTTGACGGGTCATACCAATTATTTAGCGTACAGTAATCTTTTAAATCTTCTTCAAAGATCTCCATGTCGCGCTTGTCGTCTCCTGTACTTTTGAATATTGGAAATGGCAAGTTCGTAGCCATTATTTAATGTTAAGTTGCTCTTTGTACCGAGATGTTAGACGTGTATATTTGTCTAAAACCCACTAGCTGCCACCATGTTAATATTGCTTTATTATTCTCTAGAACCTAAGTAACATACAAAATAAGAACCTACTGTATTTATACTGTTTACATGCATGATTAGCATAAATGTTAATATAACCTATCAACAACATGACCTCTTCTCTCAAGCAAAACCACATTCCCTTTATGTGGTCAGGAAAAGGATCTTGCTCCGAGTGTTTCTTAGTGGGATGTACGTCGAAAGCTTTTGTGGACGTAAATGCCTTTCTGGTTGCTTCTATAATCTGGATATTTGCCATGATACGTTCACACATCTTCACACTTGTATGTCCTTAATTTAATAATACGAACTAAATTATGTGCTACAAACAGAACGTGAGCAATTAATTATGCGTTGTGGAGAAAAAAGTGAAAGAAAATCAACAAGCAACACCTAGTTTGAACAAGTTTCTTAAAGTACAGAATTTATTTTTACCAGGTGGTAGTACAATGGAAAGTAATTTAGAACCGATTTACAACAGACGTTTTTTGAAAAAATGCGCATTCCGGCGCCTCATTTTCAACAAACGTTTCCGGATATGACATATAACCAATTTGCAGAATTTCAACTACTTGAAAAATATAAGCAAAACTTCGAGGTTTTGAGTGAAAAGAAAAGTCGAAGTTTTGCTTATAAACTACATTACTCATTAGTACGTAGTGTTGCACGTTGTCATTGACATTGTACATGAAGAACAGTAAAGCCAAAATTAAATAAATGAACAAGCAGTTAGATTTACCTGTCACATAGCTTTTTAATGGCTTCACTAAATGCTCTTCAACAAATTCATCCATAGATAGATCGTGCCCTTCCTTGCCAGATAGACTAATGGAGCAATTTCGCCTAATCATTTCCCTGAAAGCAATAGGCCAAACCGCTGTAAAGTTTACCACATGGACCAAAGCTTCCGTCCAGTAGTTCCGAAACTGAAGTTGTGCAAATATGGGCAACAGAATCTTCCAAATTGCCTCCCTTGTTGTTCCAAGACCGTTCCTAATCACGTCATTCATCCCTTCAAGAAGCGGAGCAAATAGATCGATCATTTGCATGGTGTACGCGAATGACTGATCCTGTTCTGCACATTTTGATAACCACTGCTTGAATGACTTGGGAAGGATATCGTTGTGATTACCGGACAAAGTCAATTGTTCATCGAAATCTTCTTTGCTGGGAAAGTCTTCTGAAATTTTGAAATTCTGAACTGCAGCGAGACCAATTGCCATAGCACCATCTCTTACAGCTTCTTGTATTCTTTGCAAGTTCTGTTGCTGAAATTTTCTTGCCCGAAAAGCTTCATCAATGACTTTTGGGCTTTTCATCACCTTATTAACGACATACAAAAACACACTTGACTTTTGAGCCTTGTATGCTGCTTCACAAAGGTAACCGTTCGTGTGCAGATCACCAGGTACTTCTGCTACCCATTTAAATGCCTCTTGTGAACGGTGTTTTGCTGACCTAATACTCTTACAAGTTCCTTGATCTCCTACAATCGCAGTTGGACATTGTACATTCACACTGCGGTCAAATACAACACCAACCGTGTCATCACCATCTCCATCATTACTCGATGTTTCCATTGAAACATCAGAGCAGTAATTGCTTCCATCGTTGATTATCTTGTCAATATCATCATCTTCCTTTTCCTGATATTGAAACAATTCGAGAATATCTGTCAATTCCATATTCTCTGCCATGTCCATAGAAGACGGGATACTGGCATACAACGGTCCAGAAAAGGAAGCAAAATTTTGAACAAGTAATTCGCACATGACATTGTAACGGTTTAAAACTGCAATAGAAAGTGGCGTGGCGCCTCAACCTTCTTGGATGTTAATGTTTAATCCACAGGAAATCAGTGTTTTGATTAAGGGGATATTACTTTATTCCAGCGCATAATGTAGTTGACTTTTGTCCATTTTGGAAACATTAATAATCCTCAAAAAATTTACCTGGTTCAATGTTTAATCTCTCCACATGCAATGTGCTGCTAACATAACCATAGCCAGTGTTTACTTGAGTAATTGCACATGCTACACGAAAGTCACTGCTTTCACTGCCTCCATAGTATCTTGTTTTGGGATTCTTCTTGCCAACCACACTATTCAGCGATTTGTTTCTTTGAGAGTTTGCACATGGAGTAAGTTTTGAAATAACAGTATCAGTATAATACTCTGCACACAGTTCGGTTAAAACCTCCTTCAACTTTTCACCAAATAGATCTTTGCCATGTGGTAGTTCCTTGTGTCTGTAGGTTATCGGGTTATCATTAAATTTGCACCATGATAAATTGCATGAAGTGTGATCGCCAAATGCATGTGGGAAAATTTGTTTGAGTGATTATTTTAGTCGGACATGGTTTCCTTTGTTTTGAGCGACGCAGTAACTGAAATATTTAGTTAGGTAGTTTATCACCTTCAGTGACAATGTAGAGCAGTTGTTGAATTTATGTTCACTGATATTGTACAACCTAGTAGTTAGCGATCTTTTTGTATGTGTTATATCGAACCATTTCTCAACACCATAGGCCACATTTTGACGCATTTGACACAATTAATATGGTTGAATCGTCATCCCCAATTTATACGGCGTATCTTGTGTTGGACAAGGGTGCCTTGTTCCATAATTCACATGCAACAGAACTTTCCATGGATTTCGAAGAGCCTTCGCGGTTTTTCTGCATGAGTCATGCTTTGTAGCTTGTTTCCCCTTTGCCATTGCAGCTTCACAAAACCTTACAACGAGTGGCATAATCCATCACTTTTTCACTTGCCAAACCCATAGCAGCACCATGCCCAGTTGAGGAGTTGTGACACTTTCCTCTTTTCTGCCATCCCATATCATACGATGAAGCCATCTCTACAAAACCATCTGGAGTAACACATTTGCTATATTTTTTTTCTTCACAAGTTATTTTGCTACAGCTTTCTTGGGCAACAGTCTCAGCACAATGACCAACATCACGTTCACGTGCTTTGTATGCTTTATGGCTCATTGTGGGTATGTTCATCGTGGAAATCAGGTGATTGACATGTGTGTGTCCCATCCCAGCGTGTAAACTTTCCAATACCACTCTGCTGTTTTTATCCATACAAGCTAGTCCATGCTAGTCCATTATCTCTCGCTCTTATATATCCTCGCTCGCCATCATCGTGTCACATAAAATTCACATATTCAGTTATTATCTAATCGTAGTTTCCCTTGTTTTTTTGCGTAAATGTTCACCATCACAGGAGTCGGAGTAAATAAATAAAGGATAACCGTATGAACTGCTGGTCCTCATTATTTAGGCTACACAATGTCTTACACCAGTACTTGTCCAATTACCTATTTCATACCAATGAAATCATGATTTATGTCGAGATGATGTACAATGACTAGAATTGGTAATCAGCAAATCAACAAGTGCTATGGTTTATTTAGCATCTACCAACATTGTCTCAGTAGGGTAAATAATGTCCATTTTATTAAGACAGTGGCGTAGCATGCTGGATAATTGGCGTTCGGGGGGGGGGGGGTTGTATTCATATATTTGTGTTCACAGACCTTAAAAATAATCCATTCCAAAATAAATTAATAATGCAAAACACGAATATGTGAATATGGCCCTCTCCCCCAATTATCAAGCTGGCTATGCCACTGCAGGAAGAGACTGATATTGTTGTTGTTGTAAACCATTTAGAGTAGCTTTGAGAATTGCATCCAAAGCTTTGTTATAATATAAAGGAGTAAATTTAAATAGTAAAAGAAGAGGGGAAAGAAGTGTCTTTTTAATTATTGTATTTTTATTATCTAAGATTTATTTATAGTTTGTAAGTTCATACCTTCACCGCAAGCTGAACATTTTGACAATACTTCTTTCAATGTGTCTATAACAACTACACTCGACCCGACAAGTTGGCTAGTTGTCTATATAAAGCATAACAATTATAACTTATTTTAGACTGGTAAAAATAAAACGTGAAAATACAGAAAAAAATTGAAACAAATGGGCCAAACAAATGAAAAAGCACAATTAACGCAACTATATGTACTGAATCTTCCATATGATATACCATCCGCTAACATACTTCACAAGCAAGGTCAACCCAAGACTCTGTGAGGTTTGCTATAGCCTCAATACACAGTCACGTCATTATTCAATGTTTCATTAAAAATCACAACAACTCTCCAATATCATCCATTTATCTCCTTAATGTAATTTTGTTGTACCAGTGGGATGATTTGTCCAGGGCGATTCCGCATGCCGTTCGACCCATGTTCGTCTTTCTCTAAAGTCATTTTTAATTTATGATATTGACCCAATATATCATATCACACTATTCATACCATGTTGAAACGCGAAACTGGCTGACAATCAATCTTATTATATATATTTATTACTTAAAAGTATCAATCCACATAGCATATAGTACGTCATGGCTTACAATCCTCACATAGCCTTAACCACATGTGATGGACACATTACGAAATACCACAGTGGAAATACACAGTGAACAACAAAGACTAAGTTTACCGCAATATCTCACTGCATGGTCTACTTTCCAGACCCTGTGAAGGTATATTTGGGAAAACCATTTACTCAGATGAGATACTGAAAAATTACACAACACAAAATCACAAGTCTTGTTACCAATTCCTAATTTGCAATATCACAGTATGGTCAAATGCGACCCTGTAATAAATTCATGTGCATTATCAAACTACACCTATCAATTACCAAGTAATAACTTTACATACCGTACATGTTAACTTCAATTACGATATTTCTACAATGGATTTACATAAAAAAGACACAAAGCAACGCACGCATAATACGCGTGCACCTTTTATACAATATTTCACGGCATGGTCTACTTTCAAGACCCCGTTCAGAATATAAAAAATCCATGAGATAAATAATGATTATAAGTAAACCACAGGTCCAAGACGCATGTAGAGGTCCTATTACCTATCCCAAAATTAAAATATTCCGAACTTACAAACTTTCCTTTTGAATTTTCTTCCCTCAGAAACGCGCACACAGCACTTGTTTTATCGTTTTCACAATTTAACTCGGCCATGTTTACATTTCTCGGCATTTAAACTTCCCGCGAATATCGCGAGTGTTGTGGAAAGTCCCGCGTGATATTAAAGAGCGTACGAGCGCGAGAAGAACTCGGAAATTTCTGTATCGAGCCGCCTTAATACAATGCGTATTATATAAGGAGTATACTAAAATAACTCAGGAGGGGTGGATCTAATATGAGTATTAATGTCAGGTTGTGTTAAGTTGAGAAATTAAATTAATATTGGCTTTCACGGATAAGATCCCACCCAGAAGTGCCTGATGATAAGATTTTGAAATTAGAAGAGGAGATTGGGTGTTTGTGCATGTGTTTGTGAGAATACTCTGCAGCATGATGTTTGTGATGTTAGTCTGAGTGTATGTCCACACCGGGATAGATATATATCCAAACCCACGACCTTTGGAATACTAGCGCAATGCTCTGCAAACTGAGCTACGCCGTCTGGTCAGTTCGAGTTTGTGATATTTCGGAACAGAATCTAGTTCCTTCGATATCAATGTTATCTAATAATAATCTTGATTTTTTTCTGTGTTGGTGTAATGTACTCAGGTGAATATGATGCTTGTGATGTTACCCTGAGTGTATATTCACACCAGGCAAGCTTGAAAAATATGCTTGCCCACGGTGGGAATCGAACCTACGACCTTTGGAATACTAGCCCAATGCTCTACCAACTGAGCTACGCGGTCTGGTCGGTTTGAGTATGTGATATTTCGGAACAGAATGTAGTTCCTTCGATATCAATGTTATCTAATAATAATCATGATTTTTTTTTCTGTGTTGGTGTAATGTACTCAGGTGAATATGATGCTTGTGATGTTACCCTGAGTGTATATTCACACCAGGCAAGCTTGAAAAATATGCCTGATCGCGCTGCGAATCAAACCTACGACCTTTGGAATACTAGCCCAATGCTCTCCAACTGAGCTAGGCGGTCTGGTCGGTTCGAGTATGTGATATTTCGGACTTAACAGAATCTAGTTCCTTCGATATCAATGTTATCTAATAATAATCATGATTTTTTTCTGTGTTGGTGTAATGTACTCAGATGAATTATGATGTTACTCTGAGTGTATATCCACACGGAGCAAGCTTGAAAATATGCCTGTCCACGGTAGGAATCGAACGTAGACCTTTGGAATACTAGCCCAATGCTCTGCCAACTGAGCTACGCGGTCTGGTCGGTTCGAGTATGTGATATTTCGGAACAGAATCTAGTCCCTTCGATATCAATGTTATCTAATAATAATCATGATTTTTCTGTGTTGGTGTAATGACGTGCTCAGGTGAATATGATGCTTGTGATGTTACCCTGAGTGTATATCCTCACCGGGCAAGCTTGAAAAAAATGCCTGACCACGGTGGGAATCGAACCTACGACCTTTAGAATACTAGTCCAATGCTCTGCCAACTGAGCTACGCGGTCTGGTCGGTTCGAGTATGTGATATTTCGGAACAGAATCTAGTTCCTTCGATATCAATGCTATCTAATAATAATCATGAATTTTTTTTCTGTGTTGGTGTAATGTACTCAGGTGAATATGATGCTTATCATGTTACTCTGAGTGTATATCCAGACCGGACAAGGTTGGAAAATATGCCTGACCACGGTGGGAATCGAACCTACGAACTTTGGAATACTAGCCCACGCCCAATACTTGGTTCGATAACTTCGATTCCCACCGTTGTCAGGCATATTTTTCAAGCTTGCCCGGTGTGGATATACACTCAGAGTAACATCACAAGTATCATATTCACATGAGTACATTACACCAACACAGAAAAAAAAATCATGATTATTATTAGATAACATTGATATCGAAGGAACTAGATTCTGTTCCGAAATATCACATACTCGAACCGACCAGACCGCGTAGCTCAGTTGGCAGAGCATTGGTCAAGTATTCCAAAGGTCGTAGGTTCGATTCCCACCGTGGTCAGGCATATTTTTCAAGCTTGCCCGGTGTGAATATACACTCAGAGTAACATCGCAAGCATCATATTCACCAACCTCGTTCCCAGGGTCTCTCCTTCTGTCATCTGGGAGAGACCCTGGCTGTGGCTGGTCAGGTGCCGCCACGATTCTGGGAGGTAAATTTAATTGTAACTGTGAGAGGGGTGGGAAAGGAGGGTGTTTGTAGCGTTTTAAAATTGCAACTTTGGGTGATGAAATTTACTGTAAATTTGCAACAAGAAATCGTAAAGAGAACTCTTGAACTAATATTTATATCGTGACGTTCTACTCTATAATCTGGTGTCGAGTTACAATTCAAGCAAGTTGGATCAGATTTCATTATAGACTTACCAAGGAAAGCACGCTTGCCGCTTGTGCAGCGTGGCAATATTAAACTGTGATTAAACCTACAAGAAAATATATATCTCTAGACCGAACTGTGTGGTTGTTATTTATTTAGTATTAAAGTTTATCCTGATACTCGGACCAAAATAATTTATTTATTGGCTAGATGTGGAATTGCAACGAAATGGCGAGATCTTTTGATTTCCGAAATATCGCCAACTGTGTCCAGATTGTTGATCTATATAAAGGCCTTATCAAAAAACTTAAAGCCCGTCAAAAGACTATAAAATTGGCCCTTGTCATTGCTGAAACCAACGATCATGGTATATGTCAAAGTATAGCTGTCTGTTGAAAATCTACGGTATTAAAATCATACACCATAGATAAGTCAAACGACAAATTATATGTCACTATATTATATAGTGTTCACCACCTTTATAAATTTTGTAAACAGCTTTCGTTTTGGCATGAATAAGCTTTAATTTTTTGCTTTATATGCATTCTTAATATATACAAGTGAGATTTAAATTTTTGCTTTGTGAAATAGAATACCGTTATTTTTTAATGGACAGTTTGCATCGTTTATATCATATCCAGGATTGCTTGTGCGTAAACGCATTATTCACTATATGACACTATCAAATAAATATAAATAGCAAATGATTAATGAGTTAGAGATAAACAGGTGATTCACAATGAAAACTTTAAAATGTTAGTAGAAGTAGAAAACTCGAAAATTTATGTCTATTCGTATGACGCCAAATGACGGTCTGTGCGCATCTGACACTGTAAATTTGTGATATAGATTATAGTATATTAGCACAATATAATGACTAATAGAGACGAAGAAAAAGGCTAAAGTCTTACTATAATTACCGAATACGAATTTATGTAGTAAATCCAGATAAATCAATGACTGAAATTTCCTCTATGCTTATCGACATTTCTCTGTTCGGCTATTATCAAATGTTTACATTTGCTAATATTTGGGCCAGTCCTAGACAATACTGTTTCTTTTAAAAATCTTATAAACAAGACGCGTAGTAACAAGTGAATCGGTGCAAAGCGTATCAACGTTTACAAGAAAGTACAAATGTAATGGCCTATTTTAAAAACAGTACAACGTTTGTTATAACCGCTCTCGAGTGTGAAGAGAGCATGCATTGAATAACAAAACACGAGAGAGCACTGCGAGTAACGATTTGCTTGGTTTCTTGACTTGACTGTAAGTAAGAATGTAACAATGTTCTTGTAAATTCAAAGCAAAGAAAATAAACAAAAATTAGCAAGTATTTTGAACGTAATAATACGCAAAGTCTATGTTTTTAATGAATATCCCACTGGAAGCATGTTGATGTAATTTGATACTTTCCCCACACCCCCTCAGGCGCTAAATTTTTGATGAGGCACGTGACCAGCCGCAGCCAGGCTCTTTCCCAAAGGAAGATCCTTGGTACGAGGTTGCATATTCACCTGAGTACATTACACCAACACAGAAAAAAATTACTCTGCATGGTTGAGATCGAGCGTCCTTTTCCATTCAAGGGCGAGACTCGCACATGCTCTGAGATACGTATGTAAATGTATCGGCGGTACGTGTTTGGCCAATATACAATGCGCTACAGCATTGCCACGTGAAGTTATACACAACATGTGATCTCAGGTCAATGACATTCTTTCTTTAAAACGAAAGAAACTAGAAAAGCAACAAGATCGACGGAAAACAACACGTCTGAAAATATGTGGGTAAGCCGAAACATTATAATGCTGAAACATCTCATTCAGCGCAACAATAGTCACGTATATGAAGTAAAAATAAGTTGCGAAATAGGATACGGCAAAATATTTGCTCCCCAATCAGACAACGAAATACCTCCAATCCTCTACATAAAGGTTCATCGTCATTCTCGATACAGGTAACCGAATTTATATCTATATGACCTTTCAATGTTATTTGAATAACCTGCACGTAACTCATAACTGACGTCATATGACACTAAATCATGCACGTACATGACAATGCCGCGATTAAATCGACATGTATGGTAATGACATTTTAGGGATCATTGACATTTTCGAAGTTTCTAAGCCAATGTAAACTATCATCGCTTTAATTAACTTAAAGGTAAAAAGCGCAAACCAGGAAATAACTTTAAAACCAAACATAACGAAAATATAATTTATATTATAAAAATACAAAAACGGTTACAAAGGTTGAAAGAACAAATGAATAGAAAAAAGGAAAACAACTTATTGGTAATTGTAGTCACAGTTAATAAAATAAAATGGTTTGGCTAGCTGGACACCCCCAAATATGTTAGTGCATCAGCGATAAACAATGAATGCTTTACAATATGAACGGCGACGCACTTCTATACGCCGAAAACCTTCGAATTAACTGCTTTTTCTAGCGAATTTTGGAAAAATCTCAGTAGCTACGCTACGCCGGGTGCCAACTGTGCAAAGTATGACTGTTCGACAAGTCGAAAGAGTGGTTTTTCGTTATTTAAGTTACCTTGACCTAGAGTGGATAATTGACAAGAGACGAGGGCTTCGAAGGAGATTGCGCGTAAAGAATGGCTACATGGATACTACGAACAAGGGAAATGACTCCCGAACTGAAGCAGAAAATTGAGGAAAATAAGATTTTCCTATGTGAGCGTCATTTCAAAGAAGAATTGATATCTGATTGTAAGTACGGACTTTTTATCTTTGCGCGAAATATTGTAATTGCTCGGCCTTTGTCTTATTGTGTATAATCAATATGGTTGAAATATTTGCGGTTTATATATTGAATGTATCTTAAATAACTGTGAATACTAGTCTAGTAATTGAATTTTTGCCCTTTTGTAGACTGAAAGAGGAAATCGTTAGAAACGGGAGCTGTTCCAACTGAAAATCTGCCGTTAAAAAGCCATGAAACCAAGCCAAGCATACGTTGGGTCCTTGAAAGACAACAAGAAGCTGGCACCCGTGGAGAAAAAAGAAACGTTTGAAGAGTTTTGTTAAAATGTTATGGGAGTTTCGCTTGATCCTTAGAGTATCACAGCATGTACCGATGATGAAAGGGGAATTGAACTTCGGGACAGCGATATTCCTTATTATAGATTCATGTTTACATTTTTGTTACATGTTTACAATTGGCTTCTCCCTTGATGATAACAAAATTTATTCAAGCCATAGATTTCGGATGACCCTGCTGAAATTGCTGAACTTTTGCTGTCTCTTCGAAGGGGGGAATTCAAGATATGCAAAGGTTTACGACAGAAAGAATACCTAAACTCCATTGCAAAGGATGCTATATATAACATATTGCTATGTTAAATTTGTATCTTGTACACAAAACAGTCAAATAGCTTCTTATTGAACTAAAAATAAATTGATGAGCCCTATTTAAATTATCTGACTTCTACTAAAATGTGTATAGGTATCCCCTTTGTTGGTTCTTTCCAACATGGTGATATGGCGAGCACCCATTGCTCAACCCTATCCCACTATGCCCTAAGCCGTGTTTACACTACTAGCCTAAACTTGGCCTAGGCCTAATTTGGACCAGATTTTTGTAGTGTAAACGCACTTCAACCTGGCCTAGGCCAGGAAATCTGGGCCAACTGTTCTGATAGGCCCAGATTTTCTGGCCCAGGCCAGGCCGAAGTGCATTTACACTGAAAAATCTGGTCCAAAGGTAGGCCCAGGCCAGGCTTAGGCTCGCAGTATAAACACGGCTCTAGTATATTTAGGCCCAGGGGTATTATGGAGTGTAGGGTGTTAATTATTTGCTATGTTAAAAGTATTTTTGGAATGGTGGACAATCACATAAATTATATCAATTGCTATGCACTTTGTTAAGGCACTGAAATTATCATTATAAATATTTTTTAATTTATTTAATTGTATGTACAAAAAAGTATGTTTATCTAAGGATCATAAAGCCAAATTAACTTTTTTTTCCCTATATATAAACTGTCTGAATAGAATCCCTACAACCTCTAGTAGTTTGACCAAATCATTACGTGGTGTAGCCAGACCTCCTTGACTGTGTGCCTTAAAGTATTCATTCTCCAAACCAGAACTGATCATATGTTCTAAAATTATTTGAAGCCGTCATCATTTACTTTGTTTCTGGACTTTTTCTTCAGATTTGACAACACATACCATGCTATGTAGGACAGGGGACCGTGTTCATTCTCATTAAGTTCTGAAGAAATTCCAGCATGTCCACTGCATGTAGTAAGACCTTTTGAGAATGTCACTAAATGGTCTGGTATTGAAATCATTATTAGGTGCTGTTTATATGATCTCGGGTACTAGGGTCACCCTACTACCCAAGGAGAGGCAACATTATATTCGTTATATAACATTTAATTTAAATGCAAGTGTTTATATGGAAAGTTTTCAACTCGTCTCGGCTGGTAGGGTCACCCTGGCGGTAGGGACACCCTGTTTACAAAACAGGGTTACCCTTGGTCGTAGGGACAAATTTTAATTTGTCCATGTAAACAATTTTCATTACCTGATTCCCAGGCCATCAAACAAATAACTGCATGTTTCAGGAGTTACATTCGTTCACAGCCATTCTTGTAGGAGGGGATACAGTGCCAGAGCTAGTGTTTCTCATATAGCCGTGCGGTAAAGTTGTCT